CGGTTACTGCCAGTGGTAGCCGCCGTAGTGTAGCTTTCGCAATGGAAGGCCTTTAGGCCGGCATTCCCTAGCAAAGACCTTCCCTTACGAAAGCTAGGCCACGGCGGTTACTGCCAGCCAGTGGCTTTCGCTAGGGAATGCCTTCGCAAGGGAAGGCCTGCCTAAAGGCCTTTCCTTGCGAAAGCTAGGCCCTGGCGGCTGCCACCAGCCCGTGGCCCTCCCTTGTGAAAGCTAGGCCGCAGCGGCTGCTGCCAGCCAGACGCTTTCACTAGGGATGGTGTTCGATAGGGAAGGCCTGCCTGAAGGCCTTCCCTTGGGAAAGCTAGGCCACGACGGCTACCGGCAGCCCACAGCTTTCGCTAGGGAAGGCCTTCGCAAGGGAAGGCCTGCCTGAAGGCCTTTCCTTGCGAAAGCTAGGCCCCGGCAGCTGCCGCCAGCCTGTGGCTTTCGCTAGGGAAGGCCTTCGCTAGGGAGGGCCTTCCCTTGCGAAAGCTAGGCCATGGTGCCTACTGTCAGCCTGTGGCTTTCAATAGGAAAGGCCTTCGCTAGAGAAGGCCTGCCTGAAGGCCTTCTCTTGCGAAAGCTAAGCCGCAGCGGCTACTGCCAGCCCGCGGCTTTCACTAGGGAAGGCCTTTGCTAGGGAAGGCCTTTCCTTGTGAAAGCTAGGCCACTGCCACCCACCCAAAGCCTCTTGAGTCCCACTGCCGGGGCTTAGTTGCTTACGTGAGGGGGAAACAGCAAGCTCCTGGAAGGCGAAGGCGAAATGTAGGTCAGAGTCAAGCAGCGCGAAGCTTTTAAATTTAAAAGCTTTACCTCCAGCCCGCTCATTGATTGCTAGACTCCAGCCAATCAGTGAGCGGCAGGCTGGGCAATCTTAGTGCAGATGGGTGTGGGAGAGAGCGAACGAGCTGCAACACGCCAAAAATAAAAAATCAGGAGTTTTTAACAACGCAGCAGACGCGGGACAAATTTTGCAAAATCGGGACTGTCCCGCCAAAAGCGGGACGTATGGTCACTTTATTGTAGATATTCATAGCAGTCCTTAGTGAAAGCCACGGGCTGACAGTAGCTGGCACGGCCTAGCTTTCGCAAGGGAAGGTGAATAGATATGATTCCAGCCACCTACCAATAATTTTAGATTTCATTTTACATTCTCATTTTCCCCACATGCCCATTCAAATGAACTAAGCCAGTGATGGCTAACCTTTTTGTTCTCGTGTGCCGCCAGCCCGTGGCTTTCGCTAGGGAAGGCCTTCACTAAAGAAAGCCTGCCTGAAGGCCTTCCCTTCTGAAAGCTAGGCTGCGGCGGCTGCTGCCAGCCCACGGCTTTCGCTAGGGAAGGCCTTCGCAAGGGAAGGCCTTTGCTAGGGAAGGCCTTCCCTTGTGAAAGCTAGGCCGCCGCCACCCACCCGAAGCCTCCTAAGTCCCGCAGCCGGGGCTTAGTTGCTTACCTGAGAGGGAAGCAGCAAGCTCCTGAAAGGCGAAGGCGAAATGCAGGTCAGACTCAAGCAGCATGACGCTTTTAAATTTAAATGCTTCGCCTCCAGCCCGCTCACTGATTGCTAGACTCCAGCCAATCAGTGAGCAGCAGGCTGGGCTGTCTTAGTGCGGATGGGTGGGGGAGAGAGAGAGCGAGCTGCGACATGCCAAAAATGAAAAATCGGGACTTTTTTTTTTTGAGTAATATTTTTTATTTTTTCATTTTCTTTTTCATACACTCACATGTATACTGTGCATAGCCAACACCATACAGTATTAAACAATAATTGCAGCAATTCCTCTTGTCAACAATACCCCAGAAAATAGAAACCCAATATACTTCTTCCACTCTACTATAGTAGGACTCTTGTACATCCTTAAAGATTTATATAAAGGC